TCCTAACTTCAACTAAACTTTAGAATTTTCCTCTTTTGAAGCTATCTGAAAATCAGTGCTGTCCAGCTGCTTTTAACTGCAGTATCTAGGGAATGGCGTGCTCTTTAATGTCTGATAGACTCAAAGTGAGGTCCTTTTGTTCCTCATTTTAATTCAAAGATACTTTCAATTTCAGCTTGCTCTTTGTAGCCTGATAAATGTTAGTTCTGAAGTCTGATAAGTCAAGTTCTGTAATGCTGATGCATGCTGTACATTCTTACTTTGATTCTTTGCCCAGCTGTTATCCCGGATGAGCAGAGCAGTGTACGACGTTGTTTATAGTGATCGTTACTTTGGGCTAATGCAGACATTTCTTGAGAGCAGTTCACAGCTCAATAACAGTCTCCAGATTTGTTCTTTTTATACCTTTCTGAAAGAAATTGAACATTATTTACAATTTCATTTATAGTTAGAATGACATAAAGGGATTGTGTGGTCATATTTTGAATGAAGAATCCAACTGTCAGGTTAAATTGGTCAAACGTCATATTAACAACAAGCCCACACTGAGATACACAATGATCCTACAGCTGTACTGTATAGGCAGCTGTATAGGCAGCTGTGTGTGTGGGTTCAATAGCTGAAAATAAACTTTAAGCTACATGACTGACACGTCAACCACCTACCTCTGCTCAGTCCAAGTGATACTGATACCTTCATTCACAGATATGTACCACACTGACATCACTCTAAAGCTTTCTGACAGTGTCATACAGGATAACTGCCAATTTTGTCACCTCACTAGAACAGCATATTTATTACTGCATCCAGTTGATGATAGTAATAGTGCAGCAGCTGTTAAAGAGCTGGTTCACCCAAACTGCAAACAAAGATATTTTCCTTGCTTAATTCTAGTGGTATCTGGTCTCCAGCCCAACACACTGGAGTGGAGTTCCCTAATATTTTAATTCCACAGCGATGTCTGTGGATTATCGCTGGAAAGACGTGTTGCTATAGAATTTTTTTCCCATGTAACTTTTTCGATTCTGTGGGTATAAAACAAAATGAAATTCACTTCCACTGCATTGGGGTGGAGAGGCTGATCTCAAAACCAAGTTAATAAAACCAAAAAAGATCTGCATGGCTAGATACCAGAAGATGTACTGTAGAATAGGTGAGGAAAATGTGGAATTATTTGGTGTAAAATGTCTTTTGATTGTGATTTGGGTGAATCTACCCTTTAAGTAGCTTGCTAATGCTGGCATGATGTGTTCCCCTTTTCAGTAGGTTAACCTCAATTATGCAAATATGTCAATCAGATTAATTAACACTACTCTCAGAAACAGGAGTTATCAGAGTCCCAAATTTCACATTCTTTTCATTTTTGTTAAGCATATCCTGGATGTGTGGAACGGAATTTTGGTAAAAGCAAAAATGATGTTTAGTTCAAGGTGTGGTGACTTCAGGGAGTTAAAATGAATATGGAGATTCAACTACAACTCATTATTTTCTTCCGAAATCACAAGATGACGGTAGTTCAGCAACGTAAGTCTGAGGGAGTGGTTTGATTTGAAGGCAAAGGCAGTAACAGCCTCAGCACAAGTCCGGAGGTCTTCATCTTAAACAGTGGGGATGTTTACTTCCACACAGACAACAGCAACATGACAACACTTACAGATCACATGCCACATTTTCATGCATACATTACAGTTCCCTTTGATTTCATTTGACACTGAAAATACTACTGCTTGCCATGAAAGTCCTGTATGTACAGCAGCACAATCCCATTGTGACTTTTGTCACAATGGGATCAGACAGAGATCTTAAATTACCATGTTACAGTTTGTAACATGTAGGGCATGTAAAGCTGAGAAAAGTGTGTTACTTAAACATAGTAACAATCAAGTAATTGCATCCACTACAACAAAGAAAGCTCAGATGAAGAGAAAAAAACAAAAAGACCTGTTGTTCTGGGGATGTTGCTAATCATTTGTTACACCTCCTTACCATTTGCAAGTCTGAGGTAATGGGAAACATTGCTGTCTTCTTGATTGTCACTACACATGCACCATGCAGCATCATCTTTGAAATGCAGTTCCAAGTTTAGTTCAAGCATAATGCTGAAACAATGCCGTCAGGAGGTAAACAGCGTGTGATTACAACAGTGCATATAAAATACAGCTTGGAATTTTAATACTGAGCAAAAATCAGAGAAGGCGTCTTTATCAAACACTTCAATCCTCTTTTTGTTATCAGGATGAATGCCTTCTGTAATAGCTAAACAAGGGACAAACACATGCTTAAAATATGTGCAAAGATTAGTTCTCTGCACTTGTGAAAAACTGAATTTCTGTCCTCTAAATTCAACAGAGATTTCATTTTTCAAAAGAAATGTAAATTAATCTTAAAGGGTCTTACGATATTAAACTTGCAGCTAATTTACCAATCCTCAAATTTGCCTTGAAACCCTGCTTACATTTTTGTTCTGCAATTAAACCTACCCTGAGGCCTTTAATTTTCTTCCATTCAGTGTTTCTTATCAGAAAATTGTGCGCAGGCTGGTAGTATTTTCTATCTTTTTGCATGTTTTGACGTCGCAAAATCTGCATTGTTAACATCAGCAGTCTTTTTCTCCTATTTCATTGGCACCTTTTTACACCAGCAACTGAATTACTGCTCCTTGCAGTTAGAAGATGTTCCATGTATGTACCATGCCAGCTCTATGGTTGCAGCATGCACGTGTGTCACCATAGTATGAAGTGTATGAACATGTTCAGCTAATATGTAAATACAGCTAGCTGTGTCAGAGGAACATCTGCTCAAAGTTGTTATTGTCCCGACCAAACATTATTCTACAGTAACTACTAGTTTAAACACAAATAAATGCCATTGCCTGAGTTTGCCTTTTGGGGAAATGCTCTGATATATGATCGCTTGCATAGACACGTTTTTGACAAATAGAAAGATGATGTGATTTACATCAGTAATATGTGAAGGTCTCTAAGTGCATTAAATAGTAATGATGTCTCTGATGGAATCTTTTTGTAAGCAAGTCAAGGCATACAAATACAGACACATAGAAACACACTGTATGTGATCAATATCAAAGGCACTTTGTGATCAATGTTGGAATTAATTGGGAGTGTCACAAGGACCAGAGTGCTATGTTGTCAGATTCTGTTTAACAGCAGTTGAGCTTGTGATTGGCTGCCCTCACTGCTGTCTTTCAACCGCCCCACCCCCCCCAAAAAACCCCAACTCAGGTTGTGTATATTTCACTACTCTTACAGGCTCTGTTTTCTACACTTGAATTCTGTTGCAGCTGCAGGGATGTCAGCTTTGGTTTCTCTTTTTCTGTGTATGTCTTATTGAGTTTTCTTACTTAATTCAGTGTTTCATCACTGATCAATGTTTTATCACTGTTTTATCTTGACATTTGGACAATTGCCTAACCACTTTCTTCCTGTTAACAGTGGACCCCTGAGGTTTACTGGGTGTAAAAAACCCTTGAAATGCTGCCCACAATTTACGCCTCTTGGATCCAGCCTGCCTGGCCGCAGTACCATTTATTTATAGTGTTCCAGCGAGGTTGTGTACAGTGAGAAACAAGCTTTTGAACTTAAATTGAGGATGCTTTCCACATCTTCGTAAGGAAGGACACTAGTCAATATTTGGCCTGAGGTTATTTAATTTGGACAAGGAGTTTGATTCATACATTAAAAATTCCAATTACCCTGTCAAGAGTTGAGCGAGCCCAGAGGAGGTTGTTTTAATCATACAGCTTTATCAAACTCTTTAAATTGAGTTTAACATGGACAGGATCATAGATTCTGCCTCGGGGAAGGTGATATCCCTTAATTTGTCCTAAACAGTAAACATTTTAAAAATCCATGTTTAACTAGAATTACTTCGACGGAATAAATACTGGTCGCTCCTTTCCCTTTCAATCTCTTTTTGTTACATCCCAGTTCATAAACTTTCTGATGCTTATACAGAATATGAAAGATGGATAAATGCCCATTCGTCCAATTCTTAGTGTCATCTTGGATGTATTCTGCCCTCAAAAACAATTATGTACATTGCTGCTCTTCTGAATCACATTCATATCAATCAGTTATCTAAAGAAATGGTCATTATACTACTAAATTATACCATAAAAAAAAAAAGAACAGACAAACATTGCTTAATTCACACATTTGTATGCTACTCATGTCCACCCACATTGATGAGTAGGTGCTATTCCCTTTCTTCTGTCAAATAATGTTGGTGGTCAAGTATAAATCTAGCATATGTCGGATCTGCAGGTGGTCACAGCTGGACCTCCTGTCTTACCATCCCTGAATCTATTTCACAAAGATATTACAGAGATCTGAGCTGCTGTCAGATATTTCCCATTCCATCTCATCAGTGGAAGGAATGATGTCTGGCCCAGCAAACAAAGTATGTGTAAAGTCCCTAAATAAAGCATGAAATTGACGGTATGCCTGTCTAAGTGAGGCACCACACAGCCACAGGCTCTCTTGCAGCAGACAGGTACAGCTGCTCACCTCCAGACTGCACGCCTCCCATTTGGACTCTCATTAAAGTGCCCGGCGCTCTGAGTCAACACTTTTAATGCATAAAATGACTTTATTCATTTTCCATTATAAAAAACACGTTTTAAAATCTGCCTGCACAAAGAACTGCTTATTTTTCTGCTTCTCCACTGAGGAATTTGCATACATTGGGCCACGGAAGACGAAGAACTTCCCCCATTTTAGACATTTGGTCATGGTAGTGTTCAAGTATGGGATAAAAAGGAGTAAGCAATTTACTTCACTATATGTCAGCTTTCAAGAGCTACTTCAGAAATCCAGACACGTATCATACTTAGATTATTTGGTGACGGACTTGTATTTTGATGGGCCTTTGTGTATGCACATAAAACTGTGTGTGTTTGTGCATGTATGTGTGAATGTGCTGAAGAGTGCACAACAAAAATTAACTGCAACACTGATATTTTAACAAAGCCTTTAACTCACCAGGGAACTGGTAGCTGTAGCTGGGTGCGAATCCAGTGTATCCGCGGCCATACGTTGCCACAATATTAGGGTAACCTAGGAAGGAGATTAAAAAGAGATGAGAAGCACAAACACACAAACAAACACACTGACAAACATTGGGATATGGATATGTATATATATCCTCTTTAAAAGGGAAACCAATCTTGAAGGGCTGGCTTTAAAACTCCTAGGGACCCATGTGTTCTCATTTTGACAAGCAAATTCTAATGTAACTTAATACCCTGAAAATAAAACTATAATAATCCACATTAAAAATTAGCCTGAAAAAAGTTAAGTCGTATTACATTTTGGAACAATGCTTTTCATATACAAAGTCTTGTATTATGTGTAACCCTAGCTTGCTCTGTTTGAAAGAAATGGCAATAAGCAAAAAGTAATTTATTTTTATGCTTTGAGCCTAATAAAGAGGTGGCATGTATTTATAGCTCATAATGTGGATGGTAGATTGTCAACATCATTCGCTGTGTGCAGTTTGACAACAAGCACCACCCTCAATCAATGGCCTACTGTCACAATTACATTAACCTCTGATCTTGATCACACCAATCTTGTTGTTTGAAATGTTTTTATAACCTACAAGAATAATGGACACAACTATAAACATAAAGCTCAGATTGTAAAATAATTTTCTTTCAAGGGAGGCAGACCTGCAGATTTGAAATGTGAGCACAAACTAACTGCTAATATTTTATACAATCTAAGCAGGTTACTAAGCTTTGGCTCGATAACCTGTTTCATTATATTTTAAGACATTTAAGGTACCTCAACAGGAGGATTCCCTTCAGTCATTAATCATTAGATCTTCATTAGGGTTGGGTATCAAGTACATGTACCATTTGGTGCTTAAAGGGTTGAAACCCAAAGCACCAATAAGCATCTGAACACATAGCACTCCTTTTGGCTTTTAACTGCCTAATTCATTTTAATTTTTTATTCAACCATAAGTTCTCAGGCATTTTTATAGCTCAGTGTAATGACACTTCATAGCAGGCGCCTTGTAATAAGGTTGGCATCTGTTTACGTTCTTCACATCTTTAGCATAGCAGAAAGGTTCATGTGTTAATACGGCTGGATGCATATTTGTCAAAAAACCCGCTGTAGGCAAAAAGGTGATAACTGCTCCTCATTTGCACCTCCAGCATGGCATTGGTATTTGTACTGCTGTGTTGTTTTACAGGTTGAAATAAGGTTTAACCAGGGATTAAAACTGAATTTAAAACTAACTTTTAGGATTACAAGGGAAATCAAGGGGGAAACATAAGCATGTGCTGTGTTTAACCTATTAGATCTCTTAAAAGGAAACTACCTCTGACTGTCCGAGGACAGCAACATCAAGTGAGAGTTTTTGGAACCTTGCTTTCACCTTATAAAAACCAATAACATTTTGGAGGGGGTCTCAAAAAACTGATAAGTAACCATTAGCCCACTAATGGTGCAATGAATTATATAAGAAACAAGTACAATCTGATTCAAATATAATTTTCTAATTCCTAATAATATAATAATATAATAAATAATATTTTTAAATGATTGTGCCCAATCTGGTCAATGCAGCTGACTTTATCTTCTATACATAATGCATGTAACAGGTTTGTTTATTATGTGTCACAGCTTATGGGCTGGTTTCATGTTTTGTGTGACTATGCGTATTTATGATCATAACATTCATGATCAATTTGGGTAGGTAACAAAAGTTTGGTGGTGTTACAACCTTTTCTTTACTTTTCCATCACATCACTGGGTCTAATGTAGTGTACTGCTTGTATGAAATGTTCGATATACATACAGTTATGTCAACATTTTAAAGGGATCCTACATAAAGTTTCCTTTAAGATCTATGATAAACCAGTACAATAAACACAGAATTAGTGAGTCAGGGTTGACTTTTATACAATTAGGGTAAAATTTAACACAGCCACTGAATTATAAAACTTGTTGAGGATAGCAAATGTCAATGCAAACGGTCATCTTTAAACCAAAGTCAAAGTCTGTGTGAGGGTACAGACTGGTTTAGAAGTTGGACTGTGCATGCGTGGATGGAGAGTTGCAATGAGGCCCAAAGAGGACCCATTGTCATTAGAAAAAATGTAAGAGTAGCAGATGTATTGTTCATCTGCTGTCATGATTCTTATTACAACCACAGACCCACCAGTTAATTAGCAGGACAGTTTTCAGACAGAAGCAGCTGTGGGCAACATATTGAGAAACGGGGTGTGAGGGAGCAGGCGGCTACAAAGTGGGATACAGACAAAACAAGAACATTTGAGACGAGCGGGTGGGTGAGCGAGTGGGCCTGTGTGTGAGTCAGTAAGAATTTGAGTACCATCAAAGGTAATATAAACATAATTAACCCTGTAATTATGGTATATGTCTCAGTCTTTATCCGTTTTCCTCAAGCTATTATCACCTTCAACCATAAGTCTGGACTAAATTACCTAATAAGAGGAAGTCCTTTAGGCCAGGAATGAATCACTGGAGCCAACCTTGATAACTCACTTCCCTGTGTGTAAGCTACAACTCAGAAATTGACCTCGGAAGCCTCTTTCAGGCTTTTGTGTCTTTAGCTCTCGTAAGATATTTACTAGCCTGATAAATTGGCTGCAGTAACATTACCATCTAAATATCTTGTAACTTTTGGGCAACAAATTCCTATAGACACTGCAAACTAATAGAGCTTAAAGAAAATACAACTAGATATCCCCAAATACTAACGACTAAAATTAACTGTACATTACATATACTGTATGGCATTACAGTTCTAGATAGGGATGTGCATTTCCATCACTGAGGCTGATGCAATATGCATCTTGATGCATTGCCAACAGTCCAATACATTAAATACAAATATGAAGCAACTACCAATGCGATGATACAATTAACCCCTATTGATTGCAGTGTGATTAGATACAGTGTGATTAAACAATGCGATTCATCGTGATACTATGCAAACAGTTTAGAGGGGAGGAATAACTCTAAATATTATATTTCTAAATAATAAAAGGCATGGGCCTCTACTAATAACACATAAATAATATTTTTTTTTACTGATGCAAACAATGCATCCAGATGTCAGTTGCGTCTTGAATTTGTAAGCATGTTGTAAGACTTTTAAGATGTGAATCGCTGCGTCTAACCATCCCAAGTTCTGGTGCAAGCATAAAGCTACACAGTTATACATTTTACAGAGATGGATCCACTTGTATGCAAGTGTTCACAGCATGAAGGCATCAAAACCATATTTTGCATTCGAGCATATTTGTGTGTGTGAGTATGTGCGTGAGTATATGTGGTCTATGTGCGTGTGAGTGTGCGTATGGGTGTGATCATGTGTGTGGATGCTCTGTTCTGTATGCCTCAGAGACTGTGCCAGCTGGAATCAGAAAGGTTGACCTTGGTCATAAATATCTAATCAGTGTTTGCTGTCCATGAAAAAGTTCAATTTATTCCTGACCCAATGGGAAAATGCCTCTCCCAGACCCTTTCCCCTCACTCACAGACAAAAAGAAATGCAGCTCAGAGAGGCGGTGAGGGGAACCTTAACCCGGTGTGGATGAAGTAGGACGGAGGCTACGCCAGAAAAAAATAAAAATCCTCATCAGTTGCTGATGAGAAGTCATCACCAGGAAGCTACAGATGGATAGCTTTCACAAAACCCCTCATTGTTTGTTTGGTCCGAAAAGAACTGTGATATGATACAATGAAAAGCTATCACGGACCGCAAAATATTGGATATTATGTGTTTGATACTGTCTTACTGTCAAACAGAATAAATGCCAAACTGAAATTGCTGGCTTAGATACCGCAGCTCCTCATACTCCCTTATTTCAACATTTTCTGAAATGGCAAAACCATTTCCCTTAGTCTGATGTACTGCATTACAATGGGTTTCATATTACTAAATGAAGAATTTGCTGCCAGATGTGCACACTGAGTGTCTGAGGAAAGAGCTATAGAAAGGAATATTAAAGTGGATTAAGATACATGCTAAGTTAAGCTACTATCTCATAAAATTCTTAGTATGTGCATATATGCAAGTTTTGCAGGAGAGTGGGAGGAAAGAAGAAAGAAGGAGAAAGAAAGAGAGAGCCCACTGTCTTTCCTACCATTTCACTAAATGAAGTCTGCCATTGTGTCTGGCCTGGTGGCAGCCTCTTAGTGCTCTTATTTGCCTTATTAATATGCATGCTAATGTACCTATTTTATGGCTCAACAGTTCTGATTCACTTTAAAATCAATTATCCATCTGGTACACCCATACCTCGCCCGGGCTCAAATGTGTATTAATTTCAGCAAACATACATCGGGCACAACACAATAAAGATAAATGCCTCGATTAGAGGCAGTAAACAAAGGAGCTAGGGATGGCTTTAATGAGATTTGGCACAAAAGGAGCTTACACTTTCTTAAATAATGAGCCTTGGGTCCCTTTTTCCAAATGCAAATTATATAAAGGAATGTTTCGCTGTCCTTGTTCCAATTTCATTTAGATAAGAATGTCTCCAAACAAGTTGGCTGTTAATATTCTCACATGAGCACATCACTGCCTTTCTGCCTGCCGTCTCCCAATGGAGGGGAAGAGTGCTGTCCTCTTCGCAGATACATTAGTCTGTAATAAGTTCTGAAAAGTTCACTGTGCTTGTTAAATACTTCTAACAGATGAGATGCGACTGAACGACTTAGATAGAGCTGACAAAAGCACTTGGCCAGTCTTATCAACACCACAAACAACTGTATAATCAGTTTCGTGGCAAGGTCAACCGTGGAATAACCCTGACAGTTTAAGAACCTGTATATAGATAGATGGACAGGCAAATAGATAGATATTGTGGATAATTAGTTTACTGCCCCTTAATGTTTATTAGTTCCACAGCTCAATAATTGATGGAACCAATTATTACCACTGGTTTCTGACCATTTTCTAAAAGAAAATGCACAACAAGCACAGCTAAATCTGACTTGCTATCGACTTTCAAAGCTCCTTTAAACATTATGTTACCTGATAAAGATAAAAATGCATGACTGTCGCTCTGCCTGCACCTGCTACGAGAGGGAGGGGGAGGGGTTAGTTGCACGGCAAAACGAGTCTCTTACAATCAGCTGCATGTCTCTTTTGCTTTTGAAGGAAAAAATAAATCTTTTATGTGAGGGCAAATCCATTTGGCTGGGTCGCACATACAAATTATATGCATAGGAAATGCGACCGACAGACAGACAGACAGAAAGATATAAAGACAGACAGACAGACAGACAGACAGACAGACAGACAGACAGACAGACAGACAGACAGACAGTGGGCGGCTAGGGAGGCAGGGAAGGAGAGAGTGCAATAGTGTTAAATAAAAAGGGCCACGGGCACGGGCTGGATGGTAATGAAGAGGGGTGGGCCAGCAGCTGAGGTCCCTGTAGATGAGATCTCTCCCTGACATGTGTGTCCCCTTCATTACCCATTAAGGGGGGGCACAGTGATGAATCCTTAATATGACATTACACCAATTTTCCTCTTCATTTAGCCTGATAATGTGCTGGTCTGCTCCTATATGCCCAGGGGCTGCCTGTACCAGACTCGACCAGAAATAGACCACAGTGGCCACTGGTGGCACACCTTGAAGCAGCCTAATTAGGGGCAGCACCCACCTAATGGGGCTTTCTAGATGAGAGTTTGCATAAGGTTTTTTTTTTTTAAGAGGTAGAAATTGATGATTAAATGGCGTGCTCGTCTGACACTTCCTCTGTACCCCTCACCCCACAAAATTTTAACAACTCATATTTTATGTTTTTATTTGCAACCTATTATTAAACTCACTTTTGAAACAAATAAATGTATGCCTAAACTGTTGCTTGATGTATCTTTTCAGGATGATTTCAAACGTATATATTATATAAAGGATTATAGATCACTTGTTGCTGTATTTGCATGTGTGTGTGTGTGTTACGGTGTAAGTGGATGTGTGTACGACTCACTCAGCATGCCCATCCCCAGCATGAAGGCATCCATGGTGTAGGGCAGACCCCTGGCTCGCCCTCGTGTACCTGGTGGGAACATCACCTCCTTGGGCTGGGCCTTCTTACATTCTACCTATGTAGACAGACAAACACACACATATGCACATGCACAAACACAAACACACACAGAGACAAACCATTAGACTGTGTAGGGTACATAACCAGACAGATCTGACAGGGCTGTCTCAGCTCTTTAAGGTGGTTTTCTATTTGACTTGCACAGCGCTAGATGTTTTCCATAGAGAAAAACAAGACTGAGTCAATCCGAGCACCTCACATTTTAGAGGAAAGTCTCTAAGGAAAACTTACAATCATGCTCCTCCTGCATTAAAGCAAAGGTTGTTGCTCCAGTGAGCATGTGCCTGATGCCTCAGGGAAATACAAGCTTAATTCTTTCCAAGAGTTTCTGAGACATCAAGGTAGGAGAAGCTCTATTCTGCAATGCCATTACCACAGTCCCCTTTTATATGGCAATATGTCCAACTTCTTTGTGAAAGGCAGTTCTTTGTTTAATCCAAGCAGAATAATCTCAAAAGCAGTAATCTCTCTTGACAAAATCTCTATTTGTTCACTGACGTTTGTTTCAGTCTTACCAGGGGCAGAGTGTTTAAAATCTGAAGTGGGTGAGAAAAATGTGCATTTTAAGACTGAATATTGTTGTTTTTTCTGTCAATGGCTCCATTTGTGCATTGTGTATTTGTGTATGTCTGCTGGGCTGAAGTCCCCCAGTGCCCCACAGTCCAATTCCACCTGCAGCACTCATATCTCTCCTGCATTTCTTTCTCTCACTCCAGTTCTCACACATACAGGTTTGTTCATTTCCCATCTTGCAAGACTGACATCTCCTCCTCCTACATAACACATATCAAATGAGGGATGTGACAGGGGCAGATGAGGAGAAGGAGGAAGATGAGAGTCCTATTTACCACATATCTATCCTATCTCGATGAATTATAGAGAAGCGCGGTCGGCTGACAAGGGTGGCATGGTCTTGTGTCTGTTGGTTGTTCTTTGGTAGGCTGAGTCTGTTCACCATGCTGCACAATCTATTTGCTCCACTGCCTGCTTGGCATCAGCCTGTCCATCTGTTTGTCTGTTTGCCTCCTGGCTCTCGCCTGCTTCTCCCTACTGCCTCCACTTAAGCAGGGCTTTCTCGGCTGCTGCGATTCACATGTCATCCTGGCCTGCTGCACAAGACAGGCTACTGCGCCAGCGCTGTGTACACCTCAACCAAGGTACAACCCCAGCATCCATACAAATAGGCTCGCAACTCTGACAGGCCAGTGGTGCGCATTACTATTCGCACACAAACTCATATACACATTCACACATGCACAGTGGTAAACACAACATGCTATTGCAAGTTGCCAAACTGAAATTAAACTTCACGTCTGTACAAAGGTGCTGCGCTAAATTAATAGTATAACAAGCTCTGTATATCCAGCAGAGATCTAGAAATGTAAAGAGGGAACACTAATGAAAAAGGTTTCTATCACAGAGGGAAAGTTGCTGCGTTGCAGAGCTGTGATTTGTTGCTGTTAGCAGCCCTTTCATTTGAAGCAGACCAACTAAAGTACACAGTTCCCTCAGCCACTTTGTAGCTGTCACAGCTACTCTGCCTTGCTTGCCAGGAATGCTTTGACATTGTGCTGAAGAGAGCACAGGCGCTCTTATCGTCATGGAATGACCCCCAGCGTGGAAGCAGGAATCCAGGTGGGACAAATGGGTTTCTTCGAAATTTCAGTACACTGCTGGAATTTTCACATGTTTGCATTGCTGGGTGACAAATACAGCCAAGTTATGCCCACACCGTTAGACGTGACAGTGTCTGATCAGTGTCCTCCGGTAGCCCTTGCCACATCCAGCAAGTTGGACGCTCAGTTGCCTGCTGGGAGTAAGACAGACCTGGGTGTGAGTCATGCCTACATGCTCTCAGATGCAGGTCTTTGATATTCAGAGAGAGGGCTCCTTGTCATGGATTTAAAACCAGCCAGGAGCCAGGATCTGTGGTGGTGTGAGTGTGTGGGTGTTCACCTGCTTCAAACACACAGGAGTGTGTGAGGGAGGGAGGCAGGAGCTTTCAAGAGTGAACTAAGTCAAAGAGAGGAGAACAGAGAGGACGGGCAAGACAATTCAGAGCCTGACAGTGAAGCGCTGCTCAGGTTAAGCTGTTGTGAATGCAGAGATCCAAATTTTGCTGTGTGGAACGTTTTGCAGACTGAACCTTTTTGCTATATGAACTGTGAGAAAACAAACTTTACAAGCTCTCATTGTAACTACAAGTGTTGTCCTGAATTATGGCTGGTGTAACTTGTCTAGGACAAGTGCCTGGCTGTTATGAAGAAATTGTGTTGTGAAAAGTATCATGATCCACCATTCAGACGTCGTAAATGAAGGTCTCTGAGCACCATTGTGCCTTGTTGAGAATTGAGACGCCCCCTTTAACCTGCCTTGCATTCACTGGCAGGATAGTTACACAGTTTTGTACAGAAATAACACCCAGGAGATTTGAGAGCCAGAAACACAAACACACACACACACAAACACACACACACACACACACACACACACACACACACACACACACACACACACACACACACACACACACACACACACACACACACACACACACACACACACACACACACAGATATACAGTTTCTAAGGCAGCTGACTGTTGAAGTGAATTCCTGCCACACATTGTTGACAAGCTCAATTTGCGTGCTTTCAACATATATCGAGATGTTTCCTCCTACACTGATATACTGCAGTTGATAGTTTATCTCTGACATCAGTAACCCAACAAACAGGTCAGGGAGGGAGGGAAACAGAAAGCCGAACAAAAGAGCCTATACTGTACAATCTTAGAAAGTTGAAATGAATATTTTTAAAAAGTTATTTGTTTGTGATAGCTTGGACTGTTAAAGGTGAACAACTGGGAACTCTTTCATGTGTTAATTTGAGCGACTGGAGCAATCACTCAGACTCCAGCGTACTACATACAGCTGTTTAAAAAAGTGGGCCTTGGCTGTCATCCAAGCAACCTGCAGCCCAATTTGTCAGCATTAAAAGTAATCCAGACCAACAACAGGAAATGATGAAAATACTATAAGGAGACAGATGTTGACACACAGTAGCCAGTGGAGACTCATGCTTGGAAACTAAAGCATGGCAAATTAAAAAAATCAGAAGATCAGAAGTATTTACTGATCATGTTTATTAAATTATATTTTTTGTTAAAGTCTTCTAATTGTTGGTTAGATTAAAAGATTAGTCAAAATGCTGTTAAGTATATAGAAATAAATAAAAAAAGATGTACACTTAACAGTAGGGGTGTAAGAAAATACTGAAAATATTATGGCACAATAATTTGCATTGTGAATTTGTACTGATTCTCAAAAACATTGTATCAATGTTTGTGTTTAAACCGCAAACCCCAGTAGTGTTGCAAACGTAGACTGACTGCTACCATAAACTTCTGTAACATGATACGTATCGTATCGCAGGATTCTTGCCAACAGACAGCCATACTTAATAGGACTTCTTGTTGAAGCTAATGTACCATCACTATCCCTGGCTAAGCTTTTAAATTCAGGGTAAGAGAAACAAACAATAAAATGAATAGGTGATAAATCCCATATCATCAAAACTAAATAATTTCAGTGTAATTGCAGAATGTTTTATTTTGCTCTGCTTCTATCTTGTTCTAGTGGTTATTGTTCTCTCAACAATATCTCTATCTACCAATAACCAAGCCTGATATTGAAATTATGAAGGACACATGCACACAAACATGCAGCAGCATGTACTTGACCTCACAAGCACTCCTTGATCAGTGCAGTAATGCAGTCCACTGATGAAGTATACAACAAACACCTGCTTTCATGTACTAACCCAGTGACACAGAGTGGAGAAACACTCCAGTTATGACCTTTTCAATACATCTTCTATACATATTAACCTTGTAGGTATAATGGGGAGGGTGTGGGCGGGATGGACTAGCAATGGATGTCCTTCAGGGATGAGTGTTGTGGGTGTGTGTGTGTGTGTAGAGGGGGAGGTGTACAGCTACTATTAGCTTCACTAGTGAATGGATTCCATCAGTAGACTGGCAGACTGAATAAAGGAAACAGTGTGATTCATTTACTCCAGCTCCCACTCCCAGCTCAACAGTCAAAACACATAGACTGAATAGTTAGGAAATGTCACTGCTCTGAATGCAGAATATCAGGCCTGGTGGTGTGGGATTATTCATTTAAGAAAAAGGCTTCTCAGAACCATTTAACAAGTGATTTATTTAAAGAACAGAATGACTGATAACCAAGTTAAAACAATATTTTGGGATTAAATCCTTTAGCAGTGTTGTGTGTGAAAAAGATCTGTTAAAAGAGAATCTGGTGCATAAAGATGTGACCAGTGAAAGAGGATGAGACACACTGAGATGTTTGGACTTTTCTCTTTTCTGTAGACTGTTTGATACTTTCTTCTCCTTTAGCAACTTGTCACTATAGGAATCCATTACAATTCCTGGGAATCTAAGATGTCCGGGGGCCATATTTACATATTTTTTGGGATCTTATCTTATCACTAGGAATCCTGTTGCTATGGATGACATCGTGTTTCATGGATGTCTACAGTGACTGGTTGACAGGTGAACAGTCTGTGTCAGCAAATTAACAAATTGAGGGAGAGAGGGAGACAGGCAGGCTTGTTAATTACTGTATCAGCATGAAATATTTTTTTCAGTTGATGGAACATACTAATAATGTAGCTCTACATGCTGTACAGGACCAATTTTACCTGAATATTAAGGGATGGCCACAAAAGCAGCTTTATTTATTTTTATAGTTTTCGGGTTTGTTCACATCAAATCAGGCATTGTGATGCTAACGCCAGTCCTACCATTCCTTTGAATGTGGGTAGTGTGTTAAGGCAGTGGTGGGAATGCAAGAAATCCTACACAAAAACCCCCACAGATTTGGTGTGAATACAGCTTTTAGGAATCCTCTGGACTACCTCTAACTTCTCTCAAACTTAGGAGTCCTAATGTTAGGATTTACCCATATTTTT